AAAGATTGTGATGATGCCCCAAAAATCTCTTAGCCATTTTATATATACTTRAAATATGAGAAAAAAATGTCATAATTTCTGCAYATTGCTTTAACCTTCRATGGCAATTCAAWRTAGAATRATTTGTAACGTCAATTACGTRGATTGCAATTATAGTAAAAATACAKTTAGRGMTTGGAATATAATKCGAAGGAATTACAATATTTAGTATATATTCAACATTTTTTCTCAATATTTTTGAAATAATTTCCATAGGCTCAGAATATTAGCAAAAACCTTATTTCAAATGAACTGCTTTTGATAAGGTTCATTCAAGTTCTGGTATCTCCAAAAGGTTATAAATGTTTTCGACATTTTATTTGCTTTAGCTTGTTTTTACAATGGAAATTTGTGAATTCCGGCAAATATCTTTGACATCTTGCGGTAAGTGAAAATATGTTTTATTCAGAGGACTTTCTTTCATTTCCTTTTTAAATGTTTAAAAACATTTGTTGTGTTTAAATACACATATCTCACATGGTTTCCGATATCAGTTTCTCCCTAAAACAGTTGCAAACGACTAAACTCAAAACAAAAATGGCATTTCAAATTARTCCAAGACAAAATGAAATCCACTTTTCAAAGCATTGAATTTAAAAGTTATTTGAATGAAATGTTAAGAACATTAATTGTTCTAATTGGTCTTTATCAAATTCGTTTTAGAGAGCTTGATATATCAATTAACCATTATTGGGCATTGCAATTAATCCTTATCTCTTGAGCGGCGTTTTCATATAAACATATATGTAATACACTTCCACGTGTGCCAGACGAATTGAAGAAATCGTCAAGTTTAGACCAATACGCCTGCTTAAGACTTGTTCGTTTTGCGAGGTAAGTGACAGAGTTCAGTTATTTATCATAACTCTATTTTTTCACCTTTTTTTTACATAAATATATTATGGAAAGACAGCCTTTTTTATCTATTTCTTATTCGTCAAACTATGAATACTTTTAATATATTATTGTTAAAAGTCAATCGTTGAAATGGCGCGAGTTGTAGCAGCATATTGAATCGAAGGATAGGGTGGCGTRTCGCGTGGAATTGATCTTTGCCATTTTGTTTTTTCTTCCAGGCTTGTTATATTTTTATCTTTATCCTTGTCCTGCTTTTTTCCCCACAAATGTCAATGTGAGCAAACATTCGTATTAGAATACTAATAATATATCCTCAAGCAGAATTGACAGCAAAAATAAACGTTGTCAATTGAAGATAAAGCATTTTCGTAAGGAAATTAAACATAAGCGATTTTATAAGACACGTTATTTCTGTAAGGTGTTCAATGTTTATGGTATTGTAAGCTTGTTAGTCAAATTTTGGCATTGACATAATGTTTTATTTTTTTAATTTAATAGATGAATCTCTTAGTTAAACTACTTTTTCTTATTGTTCTGATCTTGGATGGAATTTTTTGTGCCACGATCCGAAGGCGCACAGTAGGTAAGTTAAAATAAGTTAAAATAGCTATTTGTGGCACGTTACTCTGTAAAAATTAACTTCTGACATTTTTTATGAAATATTTCTACACAAATGTTGACATCTGTTAGACTACTGTCTACGGCAATGGAGTCTACAGTTCTATACAGTCGAAACTCAATATGCCACTAGCGTATAATGTGATTATATTTGTGGTGTTTGACAACGAGTACGAGATTGAATACGAGTACGAGTTTTAAAATTGGCGTTAAGTATGCTATTAATCATGAATTGCATTCCTGCGAGTAGATTGAAAGATCAAAGAAATAAAAACATGAAGYRGATTGAAATCCGGTATGGACAACACAACAAAAAGCTGGTTTGAAAACTCGTACTCGTACTCAATCTCGTACTCGTTGCCAAATCTGAAGTTCCCTATTAATAGTAACGAGACACCTGTAGGAATATCGTAAGTCACGTGAGTTGTAAGGTCATGTGACGCTGACGAGATGCACCATGGGAATGACGGAAGTACAGAGGCTCGTATACTTTTGTTTTTCGTTCGTGTTTCCTATGATTCAGGTTGTTTTTTAGCATTATTTATGAACCAGACATGTGTCAGTTTCAACATACTCTATTAATAATGTGTAAGCATCTTCTTATATAAAATTGCATCAAAAATTGAAAATTCGGACTGCCAAAATGGCCGGATGTGATCCGCTCCAAAAACATTCAATCCTCCTCGCCAGAATCAATTCTTTCAAGTTGCGTCACAGCGGCCATCTTAGAGGAACTTTAACAAAGGATTTCTCATTAATTGACCTATTGTTATTCCTTCAACATGGTCGCCGGTCATTTATCTTTTGAAAACAGTTGAAAATGATCAATTATAGCATTAGTTGTCTGGATCGAATACACGTAATTTTATTTGTGTTTTCTTTTCTTTTACTTTCCATAATTAAGAAACTTCTGAAGGAATTCAAACTTATGGAACTGATGAATGTCATGACATCGATGATGTCAACAGCTGTGCGTTTATATTATGGGGGCTTAAAACATGTGATGACTACCATAACAAGCACTGCGCCTTCAGCTGTGGCTTATGTAAGCAAATTCTTGGTTTTCAACCATTCCAAGGAGAGACAGTTGAACAAAAGACGTCAGCCATTGCTGGTGGACCTGACAAAAGAAAACCAYCACCGTGACTGGTGGACCTTTTTGTTTTGCTCACTCTCATGGGAATGGTTGAAAACCATCAATAAACAAGTAGAGTGCAACACCACATTAATGAAATACGTCAAATAAGCATTTTGCATCAAAATCAGTCATACTGGATTGGTATTAGTCACTATCATTCAACAGGAACAACAATAGAAAGATCTCTTAACATTTACCTTCATTTTCAATTATTGTTAAGACATAAAAGCATGGTTTCCCTTGTGTATTTGCTATTGTTACTAAAGCTCTGAATTAAATATAGTGACTAATAGTCACTAAGAAAAAACTATTTGTTTAGAAACAATTTAGGTTTGATTTCATGGACATGGACTCGTCTCACTATATTTACATTATATTTACTTTGGCTCACTTGCTTTGCAGGTTTCAAAAAGAAGAAATAAAAACATACCACAAGAGACATTCTCGTAAAAAAGAAGACTTATATACACTAGATATCTATTTTGTTTTACACTAAACTTGCCTATGTGTGTAGCAGATTAGTAAACTGGACAGCCATACAAATGATAACAGTTTTGTCTTATATATTGTTATCAAGGCCTTGGTATTATGGAAATAAGGGTGTATACATACTAATGTGTACTATATCCTGACTTATAGGCAAATTCACCTTCCCCTGCACRCACACTTCCTTTCAAAAATGGTCAATTCTTGGTGTGCAACCACATGACCAGGAATCCCCTGAGAAATAAAGAACAAAGCTATCGCCGCCATGTTGGATGAATGAACAAGAGAAACTAATGAGGAATGCTTTGTGGTTTTCATCCAACATGGCGGTGATGACGTAACTTGCACACCAAGAATACCAAATGTCAAATCTTTATGCACTAATCAATTTTAATATTTTTTTTAAATTTATATCATATTTATATAGTTCTCCTTCCCCCTTTTCAATTGAAACAATGGTCATAGTTAAGAAATATGGGCGAGAGGGCCAGAGAAACATAGCTTTCGTGTTGCATGGCCCCTACAACTGGCATTATATTGCAGACCCAAGAGAACTTAAAAACAACATAAACAAATTAGGTAATATAATACAAATTTTAGTGGAGATTCTGTTCAACTATTACATTTGTGACTGCTATTTTTTCTGTGATTGGTACTTCATATGTGGTTGCATTTTGTTTGATTTGTGGCTGCAATTATATTTTGGCGTGATGCAGTTTTAATTTGTAAATAACGTACATACTACAATGTCTAGTACAATAATAGTACAATGGGTGTGATTTCCATGAGGCCTACACCTTTTTTTACTCCATACTTTGCAAGTCTGTGGTGCGAGCTTCGTTTTTTCGAGTGAAAACAGTTCATTAAGGCGGATTTACTTGGTACGATTGTATAGCATGTGACTTCAATGTAGAATGCGATTTCCTTATACGACAAGCCGTAGGATTTTAAGCCGTGGTTCAAAACCTTACTATACAAGTCGTTGGTTGGGGCATTTACACTTTCGAATTCAAAGCGAACCGCTGATTTATTTGACAGCAGATTCTCATGCGCAAAGATCTTACCAAACACAAAAGAGAAAATGTCGTTATTACAATAACCTTGAAATTTTGCATTTTCTCCGAGTTGAGACTAATTCTGTATTCCCACGAGACCTAAGGTTTTTACGGGTTTTAAAAGCCTTCTGGGAATATAGGGTTAGCCTTAACTTGAGGAAAATGTAAATTATTAGCGCTATTGTACTTACTACATTTTCTAGTGCATACTTTCAAATAAAGCAGTGGTTATTAATGGCATTGGATTTTGAAAATGGAGTATTTGGAATTCATTCGAGTTGTATACTACAACTCGAATGAAAACAACTTTACATCATGGCAACCTAATGAAACACTTCAGGTATAAGACAATAGACTTCGGAACCTTTTACGTCACTACTTGATTTTCAATGCATTGTGGGATTAGTTTATAGAGAAAACAATAGAAATCCGCCATTTTCTGTCCCAAACATATCCTACAATGCATTGCGTATACGGTACATGACGTAAAAGCTTCAGAGGTCTATTGCTAAGAGATGGAGTCGACTTGCTATCAGCTAAGGTACGCCCAAATTATATGGTAATTTCTATATCTGGCCCTGCAGTAAAGTGCTGTCTCAGCTTGCATATGCTTTTGTATATCTTGTTTCGATGTCCTATGAGGGTTATTCCAATTCGYTTCAATGCTTTATCGTCAAGTAAGGTTATTTGATAAAGTTCAGTYAATCCAGCATCCACAAAYTTGTCGCCATACTGACGCATGTTGATGTCAATAAGCCATTCTTCCACCGAGGTTAATTCTCCAAGGTTTGTTTGAGCCCCGACACTGGAAATGAAATGCAGCCATTATTGACTCATTTTGTTATATAAATAATAACTGACTACTTGAGCGGCAAAATGGCGGCCATTTTGATAAGGCGGTAAATACATGAAGCCGTTTGCCTGTGCAGTTAAGAAATATTCAATTAAGCATATTAAGAACAATTGCTCATTTTCTTCAATCATTTACATGATTCAAAAGACCGCGGCCATGTTGGCTGTATGAACAATAGACACTGTCTAATGAGAAATCCTTTGTTGAAGTTTAACCAAGGTGAGCGCTGTTTATTTCTCTTGCAAACGGAGGATTGTTGAGTGATGCGTTAAAAAGGTGGACGTTCAGGAGAAAACTACCCAAACTGCATATAGAATATGTCATTATTCAAAAGGTAAAGTGGAGCTAATTTTTAGGTTGGTGTACTATGTAAATTGTTTTAGTTTTGTACAACGTGTTTCTACCTTTATAGTACCTTCAACAAAATAATAGTTTTTCATTGGTCGAGAGGAGCGCAATTACAACGTTAATTGTACTCCTTATAAAATTTTATTTCACTGAATGCACTAGAAACAAAAAATCGCCCTATCCGGCTCGTGCAATTACGAAGAACTTTCAAAACATTACTCGTGACTATTCATTCCAAATTGTACTCAAGGTCGTGCGATTTCCTATGCTTATTGAAAGAGTTTGTGGTGAATTGAATTGACGCCAAAATCTATGTTATATAAGAAATGTTCATGCTCTCACGTTATCACTGGAAAAAATCGCGCGCTTTAAAGGTTGTAAATTTGATGTAAATATGATGTAAGTGTCCAAAATTCTGTAAATTTTAATGGAAATCATTTACATCAAATTTACAGAATTTTGGACACTTACATCATATTTACATCAAATATACAACCTTTAAAGCGCGCCATTTTTTTTCAGTGTTCGGTTCGACGTTGTAAGACTTCAGTTGTTTCATGCACATTAGTTCAAAGGTTTTTTTTTCTGCTTTTTTATCCCTTGTATAAAACCTCATATTTACCTTTGCGATGGAATTTCCTGGTGATTCATTTTGTCAGGCGAACGAATCATTTCGTCCAATCGCTTTACGATATCAGGGAACTTTGGTCGGCTGTTCATATCTTTCTCCCAGCATTCTAACATGAGGTCGTGGATCGATTTCGGGCAGTACTGAAAATCAATTATACATTTGAAAATCCAAATTCAGAGAGAAATAGTAATTCAAAATGAATATTTTTAAGCCTTCTGCGAGCGCATGTTTGTAAACCATACGCCCTCTGAACTCTTCATGAACCCATAGGAGAGAGCGAAATCATTGCTATATTCAGAATATGGTGCAAAGTTTGTTTTAGCACACAAAACCTGTGCTTGCACCAAAATGTACCTCATCATCAGTTTGATTTCAATGGCTGCATCGCGCTGCCTGACAGAAAGTTCTTTGTCGCTTTATTTAACTTCAATTTTCTAATCATTTTTCATCACATATTATAGGGCATTTTATGTTTGACCAGTATTTTCCAAAACTTTTAGACTTGAGATGTGCAAATTAAAAAGTATTATCATTGACGGATTTTAATGATTAAACAATATGAATCATCGACTTACCATTGGTGGAGGAAGACGGAATCCCCCTTCAACTCTGGTAAAAACCTTCAAAAAAAATATATATATAAGCCGTTAATGATGTACACTATGTACTCATAGAACAGATATATCTAATAACTTAAGTAAAATTCACTATAAATTGTGAAATAATGGAATTATCTTTTAGAAATATACCACAACAAAACTTATGACAAACTGAAGCTGAACTATTTACTTAGGATAATAGTAAAATGAAGTGTACATTCGCCATTTTGGCTATTTGATCACTACCATAATGCACTGCACCGAACGAACATGACACCATTACCTCTTCGTTCTCCCAGTCCCAGTAAGGCCTTTTTGCAAAAGCCATGATTTCCCAAAGTAAAATCCCAAAACTCCAAACATCACTAGCAGAACTGTACTTTCTGTATCTGATTGCTTCTGGTGCTGTCCAGCGAATAGGGATTTTACCACCCTATAGAATTTTAAAAGAACTTGTTAATAGACATATCTGCTGACATTAATATACAGCTGTTTGCAATAATTCTGACCCCCTCTGCCATATTTCATATATATCAAACCGACCCTAAATATTATGGGATACCATGACTGATATATTTTTTGAGTTGCCCAGAATGAGTACTTTCTCAAAAAAATATCAGCATTGGTATCCCATAACTTCCAAGGCTACTTTGATATATATGAATATTAGTGTAGGGGGGTCAGAATTATTGCAAATAGCTGTAACTGAAAGTAAGTAGATATAAAGACTAAACATTTGATAAAAGACTAGTTGGCATGACAACAGCAAAAACAGTTAAATAACTTCATACACTTGATACATATGTACAATATTGCAATATAAATTATAGAACAAAAAGAGTATAGCAATTAAATAGAGGATATTACATAGGCGCGCGGAGATACAGATTTTATCCTCGAGTATTGAAAAGATCTCTCACGAGTGAGCGTAGCACTATGGTAACATGCTCGATGAAATCATTGCAATAATTAGGGGCTATGGGATTGAAATTGTTTGTTGTGTTACTAAAAATAGGGAAACTCACTTGAATGGTTCACTACTATACGAAAGTCCAGGGAACAAATATACTGTTAAATTGTACTGAAATTGCGAATTCCCTTGTGTTATATTCTAACCCATTATATATACACTATATTTGACTATTTAGCACCGTTTCGTTTGTACTTTTTCACGCTTTTGGAGTTTTTTACTAATAGTATTAAGGCCCTGACATGAGATAGGGTGCTCCTATGTGGTAGGGTTAACTCCTTTGTTTTTTTGTTTTTGTTTTGTTTTGTTTTGTTTTTTTTCCTGGAGGATTGAAAACAAAAGAGTTTGGCTCTACACCTAGGGCCATTCTATCTCATGTAAACAGGGCCTAAGATAAATATATCACGTGCCTGTGTCATGTACACTGATTCAGGATTGTCTTCGCTGGTGTACAACTCACGTGACAGTCCAAAGTCCGATATTTTACTTGCAAAGTTTTCAGTTAAAAGAATATTACGAGCTGCCAGATCCTACGGAAATACAAAAAAAGCCCTCTTCAATGTTCAGTCTAGAAAAATAATATTTCATTGTTATAAATTACTAGGTTATTACCCTATGAACATAGCACATTTCTGTTAGATATGCCATCCCATTGGCCACACCCCTTGCTATTCCAACAAGCTGTAGTGGCGTTAGCATACCATCACGACTCTATAATGAAATCATTACTGTTTCAGTGCAATGAATCAATCAATCATCGAATCAATAAATCCATCAATCAATAACTGAATCAATCATTCCATCGATAGGTCAGTCTGTCATATGATAAATAAAAAGTAAAATGAAATTGCGTTAAAGCAGATAGTAGCCGCACCACATCATTCTCTAACCATGGATTATACTAACTCGCGACAGTCGTCTCTCACATTCTGAAATCCGTAAAGGGGAGGAAAGGGAAGAATATGGGCGAGTTATTAGATTATATATAAGTCGAATATAAAGTATACCACAATATATAGAAACATTTATCATTCAAACTAGAAGCAAACAACTGTAAGACACTGCTAGATGCAATGCAATCAGGCGTTGCGCAATAAGGAGAAAAAAAACGAAACTTGATCAGGAGAGCAAGATTTAAAATTTCTCGGCTTGAATATGACAATGTGAGGCTTAGTTATAGAATTTATTAACTGTTACCTTCAGGAAATGATCGAGTGATCCATTCTCCATAAATTCTGTTACTATCATCATGGGGTACTCAGGACTGCGTGTTACCACGCCCTTCAGCTCAATCACATTGGGATGTTTGAACTGTCCCATGATCGATGCTTCTCGAATAAAGTCTTTCTTATTCTTAGTAGACGACGTCGGCTGGACAAAAGAAATATGTCAAATTAAAGTGCTACCGACCTATTACCTGATAAAATAGAAAAGAAAGTAAATTTCCAACAGGAAGGCATAAAAATTCTGGGTATATA